TCTCCTCTCAGGATCTTGGGCACACATGCACACGCGCCTGGCGTGAGTTTAAGCCGCTGGGTCCGGGACTCAAACCACGGTCGACTACATGGGAGTCCAGCAACATAGCCATTACGCTAACTGCTGGTCCCTAAATTTTTTTTTTTTTTTTTTGAGAGTGATTTTTGCCATAGGGCGCATACACCCTCCAGAGACAGAGAGAAACAGAGAGACAGAAAACAAGAAATCACCCCCAGGGGGGATGGCCACATCATAATCCCTTCTCCATTCTCCAGTCAGGATTTTGGGCACGCATGCACATGCACCTGGCATGAGTTTTAAGCTTCTGAGTCCGAGACTCAAACCACAGTCGACTACGTGGGAGTCCAGCAACGTAACTACTAGTGCCATCCACTGGTCGGTCCCACATATATGTAAAGTAAGCACCTAGTTTTTCCCACTTAAGAATGGAATCCCTTGCCATGCATTTGACCTAAGGGTGAAAGAACAGGAGAGTGCCATGAAGCATGACACATGAACGTTAGGGATTTAGGGATGTCAGAGCCTACCTGGATGCAAACAGGATAAAGTAGGTAAAAGCTCTAAGTAGTAGTTCTAGAACAGTGCTGGCTGATAGAGCCTATAATGTGAGCCACATATATTATTGAAAAATTTCTAGTTACTAGATACTAAAGTAAAAGGAAACAAGTGAAATTAATTATAATAATAATATAAGTACATTTCACCTATATTATTTTTACATTTAAAAAAATATTTTTGTGAGGGACCAGCAGATGGTAGAATGGTTACATCACTGGACTCCCATGTAGTCGACTACTATTCAAGTCCCATACCTAGTGGCTTAAACCTCATACTGGGTGCATGTGCATGCATGCCCAAGATCCCAGGAGGAGATTGGAGGACAAGGTATTGCGCTATGGCCATACCCCTGAGGGATGATGTAAAATAATTTCCTAATGCATATACCTGATGAGTTGCACATTCATTTTAGGTTGACTTTCTTCAGCAAGCTAATAAAGACCTAGAGAAGCATATCCGAGAGCTTATGGAAACCAAGGAAACTGTGACAACCGAAGTCGTTCATTTAAGTAACAAAAATGAAAAACTCTGCCAAGAGTTAACTGAAATAGACCAATTAGCACAGCAGTTGGAAAGACACAAAGAAGAAGTGCTTGAAACTGCTGATAAAGAACTTGGGGAAGCAAAGGTAACGACGGTCCAGGCTGTGTGCGTGTTCCTTCATTCTCTTGGAGTACAGGGAGCTTGAGTCCTTGGGATATCCGTATTCAGGTGTTTGGTTAATTTTGTGTGTTTCTACTGTTTTTGATTTTGTAATTCACACCTTTCTATAAGGTTACTCATATCCTCTAAATGATTGGATTTTTATGTTTCTTTAAGAGTCTTTCTAAAACACTCCAATTCTTAGGCTACATCTCCAAGTTCCATCTTGTTTTCCTTCAAGATTTTCATCTCAGTCCTTTTATCTCTTCATTGTGAGAAAGCTTCTGAAGTTTGCCCTCTATCTGATTTTTTGGCTCCAGAACCCTATAAAGGTGTTTTAAAAACTATTTTTAGGTTAGCAGGTAACATTTTTCATCTTTAAGTTTAAATAAATGCAAAGGATAAAACTTTCAAATTATTGAAATATTGATCTCTTAAAATAAAACTCTGTCATTGTTCTTAAACAGAGCCTATGAAATCTGACCCTTTCTCCTTGAAATCCTCCAACATTTTGTCTTTATTTTAACATATTTTATGTTTGAATGGCTTTTCTTCTAATTTATGATTTCTTATTTGCATTTCATTGTTGTATATCTTTGTGGGGTTGAGTATCTTTTTATGAGCACTACATCAGAGTGTAATTACTCTTTGTGATTACAAACAGTGCATGAACTGGAGTTACTTATTTATTTTAAAGGATTATTTAATTTTCATTATTATTATTATTAATTTGCTATAGGTCACATACACTCATCAGAAAGACACACACAGAGAGATGGAAAGTGAGAAAGCAAACTGCCAGGTCTAGTACTTGAACTGTGGTTGACCATGTAGTCCAGTGCCTTAACCACCAAACCACCTGCTGGCCTTGAGGTTTTTTTATTTTTATTTTTTAGAGAGAGATTTTTGCTATAGGTTACCTGTGCTTGCCAGAGAAACAGAGAGACAGACAAAACAAGAAATCACCCCCACTGGGGGATGGCCACACCACAATCACTTCTCCATTTTCTTGGGATCTTGGGCATGCATACACACATGCCCAGTGTGAATTTTAAGCCACTGACTCTAGGACTTGAACCACAGTTGACAACGTGGAAGTCCAACAATGTAACCATTACACAATCTACTGGCTCCTATTATTTTTAGTTTTACTGTGCCTAGACCAACAAGTGGTGTGGTGGTTAAGTCGCTGGATTTCACATGACCAACTTTGAGGTTTGAGTCCTGGATTCGGTGGCTTGACAAACATGCCGGGCGCATTTGTGTGAGTGTCCAAAATCCCAATAGAAGAATGTAGGAGAAGGGATTTCAGCATGGCCATGGTGTTGATTTCTCACTTTTCATCCCTCTCTATCTCTCTCTGGCAAGCACACACACCCTATGACAAAATCTGTTTTTGTTTTATTTTTAATTTTCTCTTTTCTAATTTTTTTTAGAATTATTTTATTTAACTTTATTTGTTTATTATTATTATTTTCTATTTTGATCAGAAAGAGACAGAGAGAGGGAAAGTGAGAAAGCAAGCCCAGGTCCAGGACTCAAACCATGGTCAGCCAGGTGTGAGTCCAGTGCCTCTGATCACTATGCCACCTGCCAGCCCCTTTTTGTTTTTTTAAGAAGTTTTTGCTTTAGGACATGTGCACTCACCAGAGAGAGAGGAACGGACACGGTGAGAGAGAGTGAGAAATCACCCGATATGGGGATGGCCACACTGCAATCCCTTCTCCATTCTTCTCCCCAGATCTTGGGCACATATGCACATGTGCCCAGCATGAGTTTTTAAGTCACCATGTCCAGGACTTGAACTGTGGTTGGCCATGTGGGAGTCCACTGACTTAACCGCTATACCATCTGCTGGTCCCTCTAGGACAAATCTGAAAAAATAAAATTTTTTTAACTGTGACTGTAAGGTTCAAATTGTTAACATTTTCCTCTGAATAGTGTTATAATTACAGTTATCCATAATCTGTGGGTCAAAGTGACAAATATACCACAAATGTTGATAAATTCTTATTAAATAAAAAAGTACCATTTTATTGCTAAGATACCTTTTGGTGAAATTTAATGCGAGAAAATAGTGCTTTATTTAAAGCCTTTAGCCAACCCCAATATTTCAGATTATTTTCCTCTGGTGCTCCAAAAGTTTTTTATATCTTGAGATGGTATACTATCATGACATGAACAAAATATATTCTTTTGTTTTGAAAAAGTAAGAGAAAGGAAAATGTAAAAAGGAGGGTGAGAATGGAGAAGTTACGTGATATGCAGACCACAGCAAGTTCCTAGGTAGATCATTTTAAAGAAGTTAAGTGCAAATTAAAGATCCAGATGTGGGCTGGCCCTGTAGCCTAGCGGTTAAGGGGGCCAGATGCCACATGGCTGATCACGCAGTTAGAACATTGGCTCTGGCAGTTTGAGAAATACGCCAGGTGCATGTGCTTGTGTGCCCCAAATCTCAACAGAACAGAGAAGTGGTGACAGGATTGTGACATGACCATTCCCCATTAAGGGTTGCTTTCTCCCTTTCTCTGTCTCCCTGTCTCTGTCTGGCAAACTCACACTACCCTCTGGCAAAAATAAAGGATTTAGATACTGATCCTTACAACTTAAGGAAATAAGTTAAAAGGGAATAAAAGGCATTCAAATTGCAAAAAAAGTAACATTGTCTGGTCACAGATGACATGATCTTATATTTAAGAACTTTAAAGATTCCACAGAAAAAGAACTAAAAAATGAGTTCAGCAGAGTTGTGGATACAAAACACAAAAAGCCAGATGCATTTTTGTACATTAACAGTAAGTAATCTGAAAGAAAATTACGAAAATAATCCCATTTAGGGACCAGCAGTTGGCATAATGGTTACATCACTGGACTCCCACATAGTCAACCATGGTTCAAGTCCCAGACCTGGCAGCTTAAAACTCACACATGCATGTGCATGCATGCCCAAAATCTTGAGAGGAGAATAGAGGAGAAGGGATTGTGGTGTGACCATCCCCACTGGAGGTGATTTCTCGCTTTCTGTCTCTCTGGTGAGCACATGCTACCTATAGCAGAAATCTCTCTTTAAAAAAAGAAAATAATCCCATTTACAATAGTATCAGAAAGATTAAAATATTTAGGAATACACTTCACCAACGAGGTGAGAAACTTGTACACTTGAAAGTTACAAAACATTCCAGCAAGAAGGTAAAGAAAACATACATTAGATGGAAAGATACCTAGTGTTTATGAGTTGGAAGACTTAGTATTGTTCAAATGTCTGTTACTACCCAAAGCAATGCAGTACAGTATTATCAAAAACCCAGTGGCATATTTTGAGAAAAAAAAAAAAACACTACAGTTTATGTGGAATCCAAAGGGACCTTGGGTAGCCAGAACAGTCTTGACGAAGGACATGATTAGTGCAGTTTTCATTCTGCTTTTGTAGTTTAACCTTACTGTGCCACTCCCGTATGTCATCCCGTTTCCCTCCTCCTGCGTGTTTCAGTTCTCCTGTATACCACATGCTGAGTACAGCTGCTCCCATCCCCTTGGCTGTGCTCAGCAAAGGCCACAGAAGAGTCCTGTCGAGTCAGAGCGTTTTAATCTTGGCATTCTGCTCTCTCAGTTGCAGTATAGAGGATCTAGATTGGTAAAAGCAGGTGAGGAGAAAACCAGTAGGATAGGAAAGTGAGGAAATGACAGGATTAGAAGTGTATCCCAAAAATCAGGGCCCAAGGAAAGCCCTACAAGTATAGAGAGGAAAAAAAATAGATTTCCCAACCTCACTCCCACGGTACAGATGACTGGGTGCTGCTGCACAACGCTGGAGTCATTGAAGGCCAGCAGTTTGGATTCCGTGTCATCCCGGGTGTACCTACAGGCAGGCCCAGGGACCTGGCTAGTTGGCAGGCTGCAAGGAGGTCATGGCAGGATAAGATCCAGTCGGGTCGATCCCTCACTCTCTATCTCAGTAGGTAAATAAACTTTAAAAAAAGAAGATTATATTAAAGTGGCCCTTATCCAGATGTTGTATTCAGGTCCCTGTAAGCATTCGGGCACCAAAAGATGAAAGAGAAACTTCAACTTGACCTCCTCTTCATTGAGATTGAACGTCAGGGCTTAAAGCCTCACTCTCACTGGTGAGAGAAAACGTGAACCGCTTCAAAAGTTCCTGGGTCTTACTTGCATTGTGGCTTAATGATAAGTATTCTTAGACTGTCAGACGTTTCCGTAATAGGCTTTTTATTCCTAGGAAGAGATTAAAAGGAAGCTCTGTGAAATGCGGTCTCTGGAAGAAACGATGGCAAAACTTCAGCTGGTAAGTTGCTGACATACTGAACGGCCTGCATCTTTATTAAGACAGTTTCATGCTGTTGTCCTCCTTTTTTATTAAATTGAGATATAATTTACATATAGTATCCACTCTCTAAGTGTACAATTTAGTGGTTCTTGGATCGTCACCAAATTGTGTAACCATTGCTACCACCTAGTCCCAGAACCTTTCCATCGCTCTAGAAACCTCATAGCCATGAGCATTCACTCCCATTCCTTTGTGCTTAGCCCCTAACAACCACTGATGTACACTCTATGTCGCTCTAGATTTACCTATCCTGGCCCTTTTCTATAAATGGAATAATATAATATTAAAACCAGATAATTACTCAGTATTTTTTGTTGACTGTAATCAAAAGCACTCAGTCTGTTTTTAAGGGCTTTTTTGGTCAGACCATTTTCCTAGTCTTACTGCTCATTTAGTCTTCAAATAAAAATAATCATCATCCCCACAGAAGCCTAGATGTAGTGCATTGTGCTACAGTATAGAACCAGCAGAAAGGACATCTTGCTTACAGGTAAAAACCAGGTGGTCACCCATAAGGTTGAGGTTAAACTGGAAGAGTTTCCACTCAGGTTGGAAAAAAAGACTAATATTAATTTACAAGTTTTCTCCTTACATATAATCTTTATACAGTTTAGCTGCAATGTTTTAGTGGCATAATCCATTAAAAAAAAAAAAGCCATTGGGCCAGCTGATAGCGTGATGGTGGTGAAGGCAACTGGATCCCGTCTGCATGGTTCGAGTCCCAGATCTGGCAGCTTAAAAAACACGCCAGACACATCTTGCATGTGTGCCCAAAATCCCGAGAGGAGAATGCAGAGGGTATTGCAGTCTGGTCATCTTCCCTGTGGGTGCTTTTTCACTTTGCTTCTCTTTCTTTCTCACTTTATGCCTCTTTCTCTTTCCTTCTGTCTGTCTATCCACCAAGCACACGTGCCCTATAGCAAATTAAAAACAAACAAACGTTATGATTCACTTGCACATAGTAGGTTCTCAAATACTTACTTGGTGTTTTTCAAGGTTTGTTTGTTTTTTTTGTGGATGTTATTAACAATGTATCACAATGGCTTCCTTTTTCATCCAATTTAATGAATATTCAGTTTTATTCAGCACTGAATAATTGAATTAGCTAAACCTGCTAAATTCTTCTGTATCATAGATATTGTGAAAAGAAGAAAATTCTTCCATGAGTCAGTTACTGTGTTTGGATGACGTTTTCACTGGAGTGTGAGCTCCGTGAGGGCCATGGGGTTTGCTGTTTGCTCACTGCTGTTTGCGCTCTGTAAATGCTGAATGGGAGTCCCAGTGCTTGACTCGGAACCACGACAGTGGTATTGGCTGGCAAGGTGTTGCCATAGTTACTTTCTGACTACCTGTTTTCCATTAATGCTGTTGTATGTAATTTTCAGGTGACAGTGATAGTAATAGCTAGCGGTTATTAAGCACCTACTGTGGTGGACATACTGGACACCGCACTGTTTCACGTCTGTAGATCTTTCTTCAACAGTGAATCCTCAGTGTCATGGGCTTGGTATCCCCATTGTGCAAATGAGGCTGAGAGAAAATCCACTATAGTTTCGTGATAACAGTGGTTGTTTTGGAATGCTCTTACCACTGTCCTCTTTTAAACATTAAAAAGCATTATGTCCAGAGCCAGTCGGTGGTATGGAGGTTAGGGCTGCTGGATCCCACATGGCCAACTCCATGGTTTGAGTTCCAGCCTTGGAAGCTTGAAAATCACATTGGGTGTGTGTGTGTGCATCTCTAATATGCCAAGATAAGGGGCCAGCAGGTGGACTGGTGGCTAACGGCACTGGACTCCCTACATGGCCTACTGCAATTCAAATCTTGAACCTGGTGGCCTGAAACTCATGCCGGGTACATGTGCATGTGTGCCCAAAATTCCTAAAGAAGAATGGAGGAGACGGAATTGCAGTGTGACCACCCCCTAGGGGGTGATTTCTCACTTTCTCTCTCTCTGTATATGTCTGTCTCTCTTTTTCCAATGAGCACATGTTCCCTTTCACAAAAAATCTGAAAAAAAAAAAAAAATCTTAGAGGGAAAAGGGGTTGCAGTGTGGCCGTCCTCCGAGGGGTGCAGGGATGTTTCTTTCCCGGCTCTTTCTCTCTGGTTACTTTTTATATTATAAAGGTACATATTTATTTAGGAAAAAAAACAATATGCTAAACAGATTAGATGAAAAATACATGATATTTCTATCACCCACAAGGTATTTGATATTTGAGCTTTATGGTGTTTTTAGTCACAATTGATAATTAACTTTAGTTGGAAACATATATTTGACTAATTAAAAATACGTGCACACATGTGTGAATTGCTATTATATAAATGTGGTTACAAAAAAATCTTACTTTTAAGTGCTATCGTATTTTCTAAATTTGTTAGAAATCTTAATTATAATCTTAAATTTTTCAGGAATTAAATTTATGCCATAAAGAAAAAGAGAGATTGAATGATGAACTCCTTATAAAATCAGACTTGGAAACTGTTGTTTTTCAGCTTGAACAAGAAAAGCAAAGACTTAGCAAAAAAATGGAAAGTTTTGCAGTTACAGGTAAGATGCAAAATGTTGATAACTTAAAAAGTTTGTGATTGGGATTTCCTCTTGATGCATTATTTTTCTTGACAGCTTATCTTTCATTGATTTATTTTATTATTTATTGTTGCTAACTGTAAACCAGAAATCATAATAGGCATTATAAATGCAGTAGAAATATCTCTCCCTCAGGAACCTTAAGAAAGTTTTCGGGGACCGGCAGGTGGTGTGGTGGTTAGGGGTGCTGGATTCCCACATGGCTGACCATGGTTCGAGTACCAGACTGGTGGTTTGCTTTCTTGCTTTCCCTCTGTCTCTCTCGGGTCAAATTTTAAAATGCAATAGGGCATGTGCGCTCGCCAGACAGAGTCAGAGAGACAGAAAGCGAGAAATCACCCCCCACAGGGGGATGGCCACGCCACAATCCCTTCTCCTCCATTCTCCTTTCGGGATCTTGGGCACCCACGCACACGCGCCCGACGTTAGTTTTAAGCCACCGGGTCCGGGACGCAAACCGTGGTCAACTACATGGGAGTCCAGTGACATAGCCATTACACTAACTGCTGGTCCCCCTCTACCCCCTCATTCTGAGGGAGTGATTTTTGCCTCTAGTTTTCTTAAGGGAGTGTAGCCCATCAAGCAGCCATTCCCAGTTTCATGACCCAGGATTTTAGATCTGTCTTCAACTTCTTTTCACTGCAGCAGTGTCTCTTAGGAAAGGCCAGTGCCTCCAGCCATTTTGGATCTTAACCAGTCTGATTTGAAAAACCTCACATATTATTTCCTCCATAATTCCGGTCTTTGTGCTGTTATTCCATTTCAAACATGCCAACTGTTCTCCCATTAAAGAAAAAGAAAACTGTAACCAAACTTTCTAGACTATTTCCTCCTCTTCACAGCTTCAACATTTTTGGAAAGGTTATGTATACTTGCTGTTTCTGATGGACCCCACAACCCCTTAGCAAATCAGTCTGCTCTAGTTGATTTCAGCCCCACTTCACCAGCTGAACTGCTCTTGTTAAAATCGCATTCACTTTGCTACGCCAGATGTAATAGACACTTGTCAATCATCAGCATATTTGACTTCTCAGCATTTAACAACTGCCCATTCCTTCCCACTCTCCTGTTTTCTTTTTACCTCTCTGGTTACTCCTTCTCGGGTCAGGATGAATTTGCCGGTTTATTCTCCTGTCTGCATCTCCCACTCTCCTTTTGTAGCTCTGTCCTGCTACAGTTAAAATAAGTGCTTGACCTTGGCTGTGTTTTTCATACTGAATTCTTGGCCAGTGTCAGGCACACAGTAAATGCTCAATCCATATCTGTTCAATGAATGAAAAAAGAATCTCAATACATCATAAAAATCATTTCATGGGGACAGTGTGGTAATTAAAAGGACTGGACTCCCACATGGCCGACTGCAATTCAAGTCCCAGACCTGGCAGCTTACTTTCTCACTTTTCCCCTTTCTCTCTTTGGCAAATTAAAATAATAATAATAATAAATGAAATGAAATAAATAATATATATCATTCCATACCTCAGAGTTTCAATAATCATCAGTTGGGGTGGACTATAAGAAATTGCCAGTATTCAGTTACTTTTGACTCATGAAAAGGTGAATTCTGTGGTAAAAGCTAATAATAGTGTTTATTTGAAGAAAGATTTGAGCTTTTTTGATCTCTTTGTATTTGTGTGTGGGACCAGCAGATGGCATAATGGGTATATTGCTGGACTTCCACATAGTTGACCGTGGTTTGAGTCCTAGACCTGGTGGCTTAAAACTCATGCTGGGCACATATGTGTGCGTGCCCAAAATCCCAAGAGGAGAATGGAGAAGAAGGGATTGTGGTGTGGTCATCCCCCCATGAGGTGATTTCTTGCTTTCTGTCTCTCTCGAGAGCACATGCACCCTATAGCAAAAATCTTTCTTCAAAAACAAACAAAAAAAAACCTCTTTGTATTTGTCTGTACTGTATTAAATTTGTACAAATTGTGGTTTGTAGATTTTTTTAAAGTGCATTTTCAGATCTCTAGAAAGTACCACATGGTCATTAGTTGCTTCATTTTTTTGTACCGAATAGTACCCATCTTATGGTAAGACAAAAACAAGGAACTTTGATATTAGAATTTATTTCGATTTTGCTTTTCGTTTCTTTCTCCTTCACTCAATATTTACATTTTTGATACAATTTATAGGCACTATATTAAACAGTTCATGATTTCTGGCAGCTTTTGTTCTAGAATTTATTGATATTTATTTGGTTTACTAACATTATATACACAACATTGTTTTAAATTTAACCACTTTAATTTGCAGAAAGAGAGCTTATTTTGGAAGTTGAAAGGATGAGGCTGGAACATGGAATAAAACGTCGAGACAGGTCACCTTCTCGTTTAGATACTTTTCTGAAAGGTATAGAAGAAGAACGGGATTATTATAAGAAAGAACTAGAAAGACTCCAACACATAATACAGCGAAGATCTTGCTCTATAAATTATTGCGCACGTGAAAAATATTCACAATTTAAAACTCCAGAAAAGGTAATACCCCTTATTAATAATGGTTATTAATAAGGCAAGAGAGTGTCTTTATTGCTAAACTTTTCTTGTTTATTATTGTATTAAATGTAACTATTCACTCTTGCATTTGAAAAGCCCTAATTTTTATTTGTGTTTTCTCCCACAACCTGTGCTTGAAGAGCACTGCACTGATTAGGAGAAATAACCTAGGAACACATTGTGACATGCTGCTTCCTCGGAGTGAAGACAAGGTTGAGTCACAGGGACAGTGCAGAGGCCTCTGGGCTTCCAAACGCTGGAACCTAGGGTCATGCTGCTGGGCATTTCCTTTCTCTCTAGAATTTATTTTCTGCATCAGCTGTGTTCTATCTCTTATGGTAGAGTGGCTTTGTTCCCATGGCAGGCACCATGGCTTCATGTCATTCCTGGCCTTGGGCCATCAGGAAGGTGCATCACTTTCTAGGGGTCGTCCATGTTAACCAGGCCAGGGAGATGAGAAGCTGGAGGTGAGTGCAGGGCACATTATTCTGTTATCCACTGTACCATGCTTGCAAGTCGATGGTCTACAGATGTTTGCTCTGTATATATATAATTTTCTAATCCACGTTTCACTGTTTATATTAGTTTGAGTTGACAGTGATTCCAGAGAGAGTGAGGGAAAGTGAGAAAGCAAGCCACCGGGTCCTAGATTTGAACTATGTTTGGCCATGTGAGAGTCCAGCGCCTTAGCCACCATGCCACCTCTTGGTCCCGAAAATTTTTCTTTTTTTAAGCTTTGAAACTATAAGAGCCTGAAGGTTTATGTGTCCCTAACATTATCTATACATTAAGTAAAATTAGGAGTTTGGAGGAAAGTCATTAAAACTTAAAACATTTCATTTCAGACTTGACTAAATTTGCCAATTCTGTCATCTTTTTTCTTGAAGGTCCTGTGCCTATTGTCAGATATTTTGAGGTTTTTTTGTTTTTTATTAAAAAATTGTTTTTGCTTATTTATTTTTATTTATTTCATGATAGAGAAAGGGAGCGAAGCACTCCCATAGGGCCTTTCTGCCACAGTCTCCACCTGCCACCGGGTCCTAGATTTGAACTATGTTTGGCCATGTGAGAGTCCAGCGCCTTAGCCACCATGCCACCTCTTGGTCCCGAAAATTTTTCTTTTTTTAAGCTTTGAAACTATAAGAGCCTGAAGGTTTATGTGTCCCTAACATTATCTATACATTAAGTAAAATTAGGAGTTTGGAGGAAAGTCATTAAAACTTAAAACATTTCATTTCAGACTTGACTAAATTTGCCAATTCTGTCATCTTTTTTCTTGAAGGTCCTGTGCCTATTGTCAGATATTTTGAGGTTTTTTTGTTTTTTATTAAAAAATTGTTTTTGCTTATTTATTTTTATTTATTTCATGATAGAGAAAGGGAGCGAAGCACTCCCATAGGGCCTTTCTGCCACAGTCTCCACCTCTGGTCTCAGTTGGCATGCCCAGGAACGTCCTAGGACATGAACCTAGAACCTTTCCCACATAGGTCCAGTTGCAGTACCACTGTGCCATCACCTGGCCCCCAATTCAAGTCTCCTAATGAGAATTTTTTTTTTAATATTGTAGGCTAATGAGTGAATTTTGATTTATAGTTGTCAGTGCCATTTTATCTATTATAAGCAGAATGAGTTGCAAAAACACAGTACAAGCTCATTTTTATGTTGCTGAGTTTTTATGTTCCATGTGTACATATAGGACCCAGGAAAGCTAAGTCACTGAATTGAGGTTGTTTGTTTGTTTATTTAATTAATTAATTAATTAAAAGAATCTGCCACAAAGAAAGTATTGGGCTAGCAGGTAGCATGGTGGTTTAAGGTGCTGGATTTCCACATGATTGACCACAGTTCAAGTCCTCAACCCAGCAGCTTAAACCTTACCACAGGCATCTGTGTGTGCATGCCCAAAGTCCCAGGAGGAAATTGAAGGAGAAGATGTTACAGCATCGCCATCCCCCTCAGGGAGCTATTTCTCACTTTCCTGCTCACTGTTTGTCTCTTTGGCAAATGCACACACCCTATGGCAAAAATTTAAAATAAGATAAAAGAAGAAGAAGAAGAAAAGCATTTATTAAATAGCAAGTAGATAAATACCTCAGCACTTTTACGCGGATATTTAATTCAGTTGATTAGTGTGTATTCACAGCTAAAACACAAGTGAGAGATAGTGGTAAGGTATTAGTAAAATTAGGAGAGACATTTTCCCTACTTGTACTTACTTACTTTCTTGAAATGTTATGATATTGTCTGGCATAGACAAAGAATTCATTTTTTAGAGTTCAGAAAGTCAGAATACAAAGCATTTCAGAGTCCCAGTGATAAGTCACAGGCTTGGTCAGGGAGAGCGGGCAGTTCCATGGGTGAAGCAACTCGGGAGCACATTCTCTACTTGAAAGTAGGGTTTGGTTTTGTTTTTTAAGAATTATATTATTTAACTTTATTCATTCATTTATTTTAATTTGACTAGAGAGGGACAGAGTGAGAGAGAGGGAAAATGAGAAAGCAAGCCACCAGGTCCAGGACTCAAACCACGGTCAGCCATGTGGGAGTTCAGCACCCCCAACCACCATGCCACCTGCCGGCCCCAAAGGTAGGTATTTTTAATATATTTAGAAATACTTTGTTAGCGGGGGACCAGCAGGTGGCGTGGTGGTTAAGGCACTGGATACTCCCACATGGCCGACCAGGGTTCGAGTCCTGAATCTGTTGGCTTACTTTCTCATTTCCTCTCCTCACTCTCATCCTCTGTCTCTCTCTAGTCAAACTAAAAAAATAAATGAATGAATAAATAAAATTAATAATTATTTTTTTAAAAAAAGAAATACTTTGTTAGCAAATTACAAAGACCTCTCTAAGGTTAGATTTGGTGCTCGCTATGAATTTTTAACCCCTGCTTTATGGCAAGCTGTTAAGCATAGTTTCTTGAGATTGTATAATTGTCATTTTTGATGTCAACAATCTTCAGCAACAATACCCTTGTTGATTCTCTGTTGTCTGTGTAGGGTGGGTACTGTCCCCATTTGTCTCGTGCATACCATGGTTTCTGGTTTCCATTGTGAGTTTCCCCTGTAGTGTAGTGGGAACTGCTTTGTAGTTGGAGGTCTGATCCAAGTTCTTACTCCACAACCTGCCTTATGACCTTCAAGAAGTTACCTAACTTTCTGGAACCTTGACTTTCTTATTTGCAAAGTGGGGAAGGTATAACCTCTTGTGAAGATTAAATGAGGTAATTTATATGAGAGTCCAGTATAACATGTAGTTCCCAGTAAATAGTTCGTTTCCTTTTTATTTGCTGGTTCAAAGAAAACAGGTCTCAGTAGAAAGTTAGGTTCCACTGAGCAGCTCTGTCCTGACCACCTGCTACCAGTTGGTGTGGAGTACAGAGCTGAGAGAGGCCATTGCTGTCAGCACAGCCTTGAGTGTGTGTGCTGAGAACCATGGAGTGTGAGAGGGCGTTATTAAAGATGATACATTATAGGGACCAGCAGTTGCCGTAGTGGCTATGTCGCTGGACTCCCCTATAGTCAACCATGGTTCGAGTCCTGGACCTGGTGGCTTAAACTCACTCCGAGTGCATGTGCGTGCGTGCCCAAGATCCCGAGAGAATGGAGAAGAAGGAATTGTGGCATGGCCATCCCCTCTGGGGAGTGATTTCTCGCTTTCTGACTCTCTTTCTCTCTCTGTCTTTCTGGTGAGTACATGCGACCTATAGCAAAAACCTCTTCCAAAAAAAAAAAAAAAAAGACACATTTTAGGTGTCTGTATTAACTGGGTCAGTCAGTAAATTCTCAAGGAATCCGTGTTTCCCCAGCTACCATGCTAAGCACTAAAGATGTAGTGAACACTAACAGATACCTACTGTGACCCTCAGAGAACTTATTTTTAGTGATACTGATAGGCAGTAAGCACAGAATCGTGTTAATGACCTTATGATCTCATCTATATTGTTAATGAAGAAAGTTTCTGAATGTTAAGAGGGTATTTAAAAGGAGATCTAAATCAGATTGGAGAATCTGGAAGGATTCCTTGGAGAAGGTGACATGTAAGCTGAGCCCTAAACGGTAATGAAAGTAGATTTGCAAATTATTATTCTGAGACCTTAATCAGCTTTTGTCCTCTGAAATGGTCTTCAAGGTGTCCAGATAGCTACTCTCACCCACCATGCCTTGCTTTTGCTTATTTAACCAAGAGGATGGCTTAATTCTAAGGGGCAGGTGAGCTATCTACCATGTTCAAGTCTGCATTGGACGTGGCATGTGCACAGCGCATGTTGAATAATGTAGGCCAGGACTCTCAGTGCACCAGACTATCAGGTCATTGCTGCTTGGGGATTCTGTGTCGGGTACTCTAAGATGCCATAGATCCCAAGTAGCAGCGAAGCCAGTGGATCTTCAGAATTACAGTAGAGTAGTAGGCACACTCTTGTTTTAGAAGTGTTGGAAATAGTCGCTTATTCAGTGAACATTCTCAGCATACACTGCCTGGTAGAAATATTTGCATATATCTGATTATAAAAATAGACCTCCTCTAGATCCGGAGCTGGGACTTCTGGGTGCTGGTGTGTCTGGGAAGTTGGTCCTGGTCTCAGTCCCAGAAAGCCCTTGGGACCGTGCTGCCCTGGGTGAGCAGGCACACAGATGCCCTTCCAGCCCCTCCTCTGGGAGGGGTTATAAACTAGTGGTGCTCGAAAGTGAGCATGCCTCAGAATCCCTGGGAGAGCTTGGCGAAACAGTGGCCGGGTCCTGTCCCCGCAGTCCTCAATGAAGTGAGTCTGAGCGGACCCCAGACTTGCATGTCCCACAAGTTTCTAGGTACTGCTGGTGCTCTGGTCTGGGGATCGCACCTTAAGTACCACTGGTCTGAGCAGCTCCAGGAGAACGGCAGGGGACGTATCTGCTGGGGTCTGACCCAGCAGTACTGTTGGCCGCCAGGGCCTTCCCGGAAGCAGATCTGCACCAGAACAGCCGGTGCTCTCACCTGCTCTCGCCAGGTCATGGTAGCTTTCCTTAGCTACGTTAAATACGCATGGGGTTTCGTCTTGTAGCCTCTTTCATTCAGCTGTAACACCAGCATCCTGTGACAACCATGTGATAATTACAACAAATGGTAACTTCTGTTTTTAAATTATGTTTCAGGGTGATTACAATTCAGAAATTCATCTGATCACAAGAGAAAGAGATGAACTTCAGCATATGCTTGAAAGATTTGAAAAATACATGGAGGATATACAAGCCAATGTTAAGTTATTGACAGCAGAGAGAGATAAACTGAATGTCTTATATACTGAAGTAAGAAACTTAATATAATTAAGCCAACAGATGATACAGGGCCACTTCACTGTAATGGAATCAGTGTGTCATTCAAAGTACTGCAATCTGTGGACCCTGTGATGTTCTTTCGTAGTTAGAATTATAAGTAGTAATATCATTTTGTTACCAAAGCAGAAATTCGTCTAATTTTTTTCACATTTATTCTTTCTATTTTCCAGACTGTGTATCAGATGAGTTAGACATAGTCTTCTAAAATTCTTTGGAACAGCTCTTAGTCTGACTCTGCACCAAGTCTGTCCTTGGGATTCAGACATGGTGGGTGGTTTCTGTCAGACTGGTGGTAGTGCCTACTCTTGGATGATATTGGCCATTAAGGACTTAGCTGCTAGTGAAAAGCCTTTACTCTAGGGAAGAGGGACTTGGTACAGCTTGGGCCCGTTATAAAACCTCAGTGATCAGAAGGTGGGGTGAACCCAAGTGGTCACCTAAATTTGTTCCCTTATACTTCTCCCATGAAATCCTAATGCTACTGAGAGACAGAGAGAAAGAGAGAGAAGACATGCAAATGAAAGGTCAAGTTGTGGGACCAGCAGGTGGCATAATGTTTACATCGCTGGACTTCATGTAGTTGACTGCGATTCGACCTGGCAGCTTAAAACTCATGCTCGGTGCACATGCGAGTGTGCCCAAAGTCCTGAGGGGAAAATAGAAGAGAAGGGATTGCAGTGTGGCCATCCCCCCAGGGGTGGGGGATGATTTCTCATTTTCTGTCTCTGTCTCTATGGCTAGTGGACATGCCCTATAGCAAAAAATCTATTTTAAAAAAGAAAAAAAAAAAAAGTTGAAAGAGCTGTTTTCACTTTTTTGGGATCTGCAGCTTCACTTCTGGGTGTTCCCTACTGTTGGTTTAGGTTTCAGCTTTATGAGTCTGCTTAGTTAGCTCCTGCTCGCCGTTGCTATCTGTTAGTAGTTCCCAGTGTATCTGGCTGCCACCTCCCTCTTGTCTTTTTGGTTTGTTATTACCATTTCAGCTCTTTTACTGTCATTTTGTTAGGGCTTGGGATGAGAGCAAAGGTAGCATGCATTCAGTGTGCATTTTTTTTTAAACATATTCAAAGTGATTTTTTTTATTTTTCTCTTTTAATTCTTTAAGGCTCAGGAAGAACTATCTGCACTAAGACAGGAATCCAGCCATACCACAGTCTCCCGTAATATGGTCAGCCTTATGGAAAAGGAAAAGGAACGTGCATTATCTGACTTGAAAAGAATTATGGCAGAAAAGGAAACTTTAAAAGAAAAGTTAAAAGTAAGTAATGTGACCTATTTTTTATAAGTATTTATTTCATTATATCACTTTGGGTTTCTTTTTCTTTTGAGAGATTTTTGCTATATGGCATGTATACTCACCAGAGAGAGAAAGGAAAAGTGAGAAAGCAAGCCGGCAGGTCCAGGACTCGAACCGTGGTCCAGCGCCTTAACCATGCCACCTGCTAACCCTAATTAACTTATTTTTGAAAGGTAATTATTGATATAAAAGTCTTTGTATATGTTTTCATGTAAAGCTACTATTTAGAATGTATTGGCAAGCAATAGTATGTGGGCCAAATCAGGACCATTTTATTTATATATGGCCTGTTAGCTAAGAATAGTTTTGACATTTTTTAATCATTTAAAAAAAAAATAGTACTACATTTTCGATAATAAGGCATTACTGGAATAGCAGGCTCCTTTTGTTGCCTGTCTGGCGCCCAGGGGCAGAGGTGAGTAGTCACTGCAGGTGCGTGGAAACTAAGCCGAAAACATTTGTTTACTCTCGTCCTTAGGGAAAATGTTCGCCAACCCCAGAACTTAATAGGGAGTTTCCCACATGGTAGAACATTATCTTTTAAAAAATATATTGCACCTTTATAGAGATAATTCACATGCCATATAATCCACCCATTTAAAGTATACAGGTTAGTGGTTTTAGTATACTTAAAGACTTGTGCAAATATTGTTCCGGATGAGGAACACTCCACCTCCAGTCTGGGAACCTGAAAGCAGGTACAACCCTCGCTGCTTAACAAAACAGAGAGACAAAACTGCTGATGAAAGAGGAAAGGAAGATTTATTCCAGTGTGGCCACACCAGGAAGACATGTAAGAATATGTTCAGCTGGTCAACCACC